CAGCTACCGCCAAGCCCGAGGCATAAACTCAGGCTTCTGCTCTCAGATGCTGCTACTAGAAATTTGCATGAACACTGAAGGGCGGAAAAAAGCGCGGTGCAGCTCTTCTTCACTTACTGTAGGAACACCGACCTTCCAGGCAGAAAGATCTCTGCTGAGCAGTAGGTCCACACTGCGAACAGAAGGCAGGGGATCATGTGAGCCCAGCAGCACACAGAGGCTTATTTGAAGAGGCTACAAAGCAACAAGTAATGCCAATTTAAACCGATTACATGTCACTGCAACAAGTGAAACACATTGAAGGCCGCTCAGATTACACTGTCTGGGTGCTAAACTTAATTACTCCCGTTAGAGATCCCTAAAACAAAGGGAGGCTTTTAAGCGAGTGATATGTAGCTGGCTGGGTACTGAAAAACCTTGGAAAATTTAGGTAGAGCCTGGAGGAAATTTCAAAGAAGATCCTCTCATGTCTTAAAGACCTCAGCCTATCCCTAAATAGATATGTTTGTGAGGCACTGCAACTGGTATGAATCAATGGCAGATTATTTGGTACTTTTAGTACTTGTGTACAGTTGAGGCTGATAAACTTGGATAAACACTACCAGCCTTGTCTGGACTGAGATCTAGTTAGTGCTGAACCAGGGTTAGTGTCATATTGTCCTACAGATTCTTTGTGGAGCCATTCTGAGATTGGTATCTAAGAGGACATGCTAAGGTATCTTTATTATTTTATTTTTTGGCGAAACCAGGGATTGAACTCAGGCCCTTGCGCTTGCCAGGCAAGTGAGCTATCTCCCTGGCTCCACTAAAGGTATCTTTAAAAAGGCAATTTTTATATAGTTTTTATTTTTCTTGGAGTCAGTTGTACAAGTCACATTTTCTCTGTCCTTAACATTAACTTCTGTCCCCCAGATTGTAAGAAGTGTATGCTTGGGGTTTAGTTTCCGTGCAGTGCCAACCTCACAGTATTGGTAGACTTTATTATTAAGGTTGATCGACGCTTTTGTCATATGTAGGGTTCAGTTTACGTTTAGTGAGTCACTTTATTTCTGAAGTGCTAGACCTTTTCTTTTAAACGAGCAGTTTTTTATGGTAGTTTATTTTTTAAAAGTTTTATTTATTTATTTTTTCTGTATTTTAGGGAAGGGTCTACAAGGTGTTCAGGGGCTCACTATTAGATCGGACTCTTAGTGATTCTCCTGTTTACAGCCTCCCAAGTGCTGGGATTACAGGCTCAAGCCACCAGCCCAGTCTCAATTGCTGTCTCAGTGCCCCAGGGTGGGCCCGGCCCCTTGGCCTGTTTGCAGGTGCTTTAATCCACTGAGCTATTTGGCCGCTCCTTGTATATGGTATTTAGTTTGTCTTTTTAGAAGGATAGTGATGGCAGTTGGGCAGACTTTATGCCATTTATAGATATATCACATTCTATAGTAAATTGTGTCATTTTGCCTCAGTTTCCTTGCTTACCTACATAAGAGTAGAAGCTGTGACCCTCATTACACTTTCTGGGATCTAATGACCTCCTGTCCCCCAGTCTTGTCCTTTATTTGCTTAATAATCTCCAGCCCTGTGAGCCTAGAATCCCTCTCTCTTCCCCTAGGCCTTTAGGTTTGTCATTTGCTCCATCTAGGGTGCTTTTCCTCCTATCTTTGTGACTCTTGATCCCCTCAGTCTCTTCTCAGAGGCTGCCTCCTAGGGCAGGCTTTCCTACACACTGTCTAAAGTAATGCCAGTACCCCTGCTCTGCCCTCATGACAGCTTTATGTCCCATTCTGGGTGTTGTTCCTAACAGGACATACCACTGTCTGAAATAACTTCGCTTAGCGTTTGTTACCCGTCTTTCTGAAAAGAACTAAGAGTCTTGAAGACAGGACTGCAGTTCTGTGAGCTGCAGTATCCCTGACATCAGGGTCCACGTCTCCCGGTAGCACGTGCTCTCTGAGTGTTTCTGGTCTTCGACAGCTAGTCCTCAAGTACGCTGCACTGTCGACAGGTGGACATTGGAAGTCGGCTTCTGGATTGTGTGTCGTGTTGCCGAATTGTACCCGAGACCCAAAACCTGCTAGTGCTTCTCTTTGGTTTTACTTTAGAAATGTCACATGCACAACTAGAGACACACATGGAGACATATAAGATTGATTTCACTCCACCATTAATTTATTACGTGCCCATTGTGTGTGGTTTAAGAAGATTTTGGGAAAAAGTTCCTCTTTCTGAGTGAATATTTTCTTGGATTCCATTAAAACCTCAGTTCAAGCATCAATTTTCTGACTTTTTTTTTTTTTGGTCTTTTTGAGACAGGGTCTTGCTATGCAGCTCAGGCTGGCCTTGAGCTCCATTTTGTAGCTCAGACTTGTCTTGAACTCGCGCTGATTCTCCTTCCTCAGCCTCTGGAGTGCTGGGATTACAGGCATGTGCCACCGCACCCAGGGTGTTTAACTTATCTTTTTATGGCAAATATTGATAGTATTTATTTAGAGATAGCCCAGGAATAAAGTTGTGAGTCTCAAATTTTACTTTTTCTTTTGTTTATTCAGGCAGTATGTTAGATGATTGCAGACTTCTGCTGGAGAATATGGTTTAGGGGATTTCTTAAGATGGACACTCAGGGTTTAATTCGCTTGCTCTCCGAATGTCATTCTTCAGATCTGTATCGTCGGCATTGCCTTTGAACTCATTGGGGGTTTTCGCAGGCCCCCTGTGGAACTACTCAAATGAGAAACTGGGGGTTGGGCACAGAACTTTTGTGTTTGCACAAGCTCTCCAGGTGATTCTAATTTGTACTAAAGTTTGAAAACCATGGCTTAGAAAATGGTAAAGGTTCAAGGCAGCACGGTCCCACAAATCACCCAAATACCATTAATTATTAGCCTGGGAAGCCTGCCTCCTTTTGGCCGCTGAATTGGAGTGGTTCATAAAGCTAGGCTGTAAAGTTATTTGCTGGGTTGTCACATATTGATTTTAGATTTGTTTGTATGTCTCTAAATCCGTCACTGTAATGATTTGCAGGGGCACTTAATAGGAGTAGTCTCCCCACCCAGCCCTCCTAGGACTTTCTGAGGCAAAGGGGCTGGGTCCTTACCTTATGCCCTTCTGGCTAGCTGTCTGCAGGTGCAGTGCATGTCCTTTGTGTATTTTTGATGAGGGAAGTGTCCTGTTGGATCACAGGGGCCGTCTGGGGCATTCATGAAGTCCTTCCAGCTTAGTCACAAGTAGAACCCTGTGCCCCTGAGACGGAGCCTCACCTGCAGCTGCACAGCAAGTTAGGCTGGTCGGGGCCCAGCAGGTTGCTGGCCTGCTGTCTCCCTCCACTGCTGCAGGATTCCTGGAGGGGAGAGCTTCAGCCTGCTGTGTGCCTGTACAACATTCCTTTCCTACTGCGAGGTTTTCCTTTTTATTTTAAAAAAAAAAGCAAAACAAATAGAAGCCAGGAAATTTTCACTGCAACTAATAAAAGTGTCTAAAGGGAGTAAAAAAATCAGTTTGAGAACTTGTGCATGGAGGAAATAACCTGACATTAACTGTTTTAATTATAGTTGTTGCTTTGGGCTTATCAGTGTGGGAAGAGGGAGCTCTTGAGCCCTACAGGGAAGTTGGGTAGGGACAAGAAGATGACCCTCTTCCTGAATCTGCCTGTTTGCCTGCAGCCTAGTGACTGTGTTTGATGCCAACAGCTGTCTTGGAGACTGGGGACAGGTTGGACTTAGAGACCTGGGGCCTGTGCTCAGTATGGCCATAGTGAGTGGTGTGAAGAGGCTACCAATCCTCTCTGGGGCTCATTTTCTGGTAAATGGGCACAGTGACATCGCATCCTGTGGAGAAGAGTGTCAGGTAGTGGGAAACAGCACGTAAGAGAACCACCTCTGGCCCTAGACTCCCTAGGTTCAATTCCACTTCTTTAGCTTGCTGGTGTGACAAGAGACACATCAGTTGTCCTCCCTGTCCCTCACCGGTAGACTAGTGCAATGAAGTTAACTACTTCTTAGAATGTGAAGATTGAATTAGTTAATCTGAGTGCTTAGTACTTGGTATTTAGTAAGTGGTATTTATTAACTACTGTTACTATTGGTATTTTTCAAGTAATATTATTTAAAGAATGATGGGGTTCCTGTAATCATGTTCTCCATGATTTCGCCACTTAGTATGATACCGGGAAAACAGGCTCCTCACACAGTACAGTGGCCCCTCACTTGCTGTGGAGGTTACCTTTTCAGTAGTCCCCGGGTAAGTGAAAATCAGCAAGGTAGTGATGTTGTTAATTTAGTATTTATATATATTTTCAGGCTTCATAAACCCTTCCCACACTCTTTTAAACCTTTCCCACACTTTAAGAAACACTTCAAATGTGCTTAACCATTTTCTAAGCTTGTAAACCTCTCTCATTTAACAATATACATTTACTGTGTGGTACTGAAAGGTCCCGTGATACAGCCAAAAATCTGCGATAAATAATTTAGATTAATATTTTTTGAAAACCCGCGAAACAGTGGGGCTGCGAGAGTTGAGCCGCTAAATAGCGAGGACAGAGGAGTTGCTTGTGGCCTGGCCTTCTGGGAAAAGAAGGTAGTTTTGTTGCTCAGGATGGGCGAGCCGACACCCGCATGCATAGAAATTTGTGCCTAGAGAACCTGAAGGCGGAGCCATCTCAGTTTGACTTTTATGTATTTGTGTCCAAACTATTTGAGAAGAACATCTTTATGGCCCTCAAGAAAGAGTTGGGGAACTTCAGTTTTGACTTGTGATCATTAGACTAGGTCTCTTTCTGTCTTGCCTCACTGATTCTTAAAATGGTACATTTTTGTGAGGTAAATTCTGTAATGAATTTTTGTGCTTCCATGACCCTAGAAGCCAAAAGTTGAAAAGGTGATTAAAACTCTAAAGGGAAACGCAGTCTGATTGGATGTGGGAATGAAGGTTGACTTGGGTGATAGCTCTTGGGTATCTGAGGGTTGTGATCAATGGCTTCTGTCTAATGTACTTTTTTGTTTGTTTTGTTTTAGCATTGCAGTGTCGGGGTGACTATGAGCCCTGTGTGAATGAAGGCGTCTGTATTACCTACCACAACGGCACAGGGTACTGCAAGTAAGTGTTTCTTTTTCTATATTTCCTTTTCCACAGTAGAACACTAGACACAATTACGTTGCCCTCTGTTTTTAGTACATTTATGAAATGTTCCTGGTTCTCACATTGCTCTGATTAGTTTTTTTTTTTTTTTTTTTTTTTTTGTGGATGATAAGGATGGAAGGCTATGGATGTCAGATAAATGATTAATAAGAACTTACTATTTTACCACCTTTTCCACTATGAATAAGACGTATCAATGAATGACTAGTTAACATATATTGGGTATGTCTGATTCCACCTTTTAATTAAGATATTTTCTAGAATCTTTCCTTAACATGGTGGCTGTAATCTTGTTTTTTAAGTGAAGCCAAATAGATACTAATTTTTATTCTGTCCAGTGTAACAATATAACCTTATGAAGCTCTTCCCTCTAGTCTAAGAAACCCAGTTCTTGAGGTGAGCTTGTGAAGAGTCGTGGGTACAGCTGTATCTGAGTGTGACTGTACAGGATTAAAAGTCGAGAGACAAGAAGGGGTAGGGCTAGCAAACACAGAGTAGTTCTTGGCTGAAGAGCATTTGTCTTCTTTTTCTGTAACCATCTAGTCTAGTCTAGGCTAGCTGTCCTTTTTCTTTCAGAAAGGCTGAGATAATTTGATAAACAGCTTCTCTAGATTTTGTGTTGACCAGTTTTTTTTTTTTTTTCTTTTTACTTCATTTGAAAAGTTTTGATAGTAGCGTATGCCCATTTATTTCAGGAAAGATGTTGGAAAATTAATGTGAGGTTTCTCTTCCTTTTCTTCATATAATTAATTATAGTATTTTTTTCTCCATCAAGTTCACTCTGATAGCAGGATCTAAGTTTGTTAACATCATAAACAGATTTCCTTTTTCCAAGTCAGAAACAATTTCCTTCAGTAAAGTGAAAGTATTTTAACCTGTGATGACAGTAGAGCTCAACAATAGTTTATTTGTATTGGAATAAAGATGACACTGGAAATGAAAGATTTTATGTAGCTGACTGTGGACTGCTCAACTTGGTTTTTCAATCTGGAGAAGAAGCATGTGCAGCATTTCCCTCCAACAGTGGAAATACAACCGGAAAAACTAAGGGAGAAACTTAACATTTTAGAAGTCAGACTGGAATTCTTGTTAGGTCTCTTTAAGACATCTGGAGACTGGGTGTGGTGGCATGCTCCTGTTTTCCCAGCTCTTGGGAGGCTGTAAACAGGAGGATCACTATGAGTCTGATCTAGCAGTGAGACTCTGAACACCCTGTAGACCCTTCCCTAAAATACAAAAAAAAAAAAAAAAAAAAAAGACATCTGGTGCCTTAGTTGCTTGCTTTGTTCTGTTATTCTGCTCTCATAGTAATTAACCCACATTACATGTGATCACTGTTGACGTATTTGTGTCTTTCACTACATTGAGTTTCCGATTGTAGGCAGAAGGTTTTCCTAGTAATTCCTAGTACATATACTACTTGGTATTTATTGCTTCACAACATGTTTTTTGAACAAAAGGTCCAGTACATATAATCATTCACATGCCTGTTATCTATTTGTTTTAAACAATGAGATATTCATTCTTTTCTTTTTTTTTCAAAGTTTTATTGATAAACAGATAGCAATGAGACAGTTTCAAATCAAATTGGAAGTACAGTTTCAACAAATAATACACTGCATATATTCTTCTTAGTGGTTAATTGCTGTACAAGATGCAGACTTGTGATCCTATTTACAAACACCATTAGAAAAAATCATTCTATTCATTAAGAGAATGCAACTATATATTTATCCCAACCACTTTGAATACACAGATACAAAATGGACATTCATCGGTATACCCCATTTTTTCTAAGTTCCGTTATTGAATATTATAGGTGTGTAAACGCAGCAAAATATTCTAAAAGAGTCCAGTAGCCCATAATAGCATTGGGTCTTCTGTTTAACTGGCAATGTCAGAAATTATTGACCTGAGTCCCCCACAGCTCAACTTAACAGCATGGCTTTATTTCCTATATTTCGTCTTCATACTTTTCTACTGGATGGTTAAGACCAACGTAAAGCAGGACCTATGCAACAAGAGTTGTAGCTTTTTGGTTTGAGAAGGTCAGTGAAATGCCCTCAGGATTTATCCTGAGATCCTGTACCTCAGATTGTAGAACCTTTGTCAGTGCAGCCATGTGGATGAGTCATGGCCATTGCTTGGCCAATGTGCTCTCTGTGAAAGCCTGAGAGTGTCTTCTCCCCATGTGACTCTTCTTAGGCACACTGTACGTCATCGATCACTTTCCTCTTTGGCCCCATAATCTTCTTGATCGGAAAATTTGGGATACTACCGAGGTACATGACATTACAGTACAAGTTCTCATATGTCCTGAGTCTTAATTGACCTTCGAAGACTAGGGCCAAAATGTTGGCTTTCCTTTTAGCCCTCCTTTTTCTCTAATTTTGGTCTGCAACTTAGGTTGTTAACCATCCAGAAGACAAGCTTATTGTTATTATCAAACGATTTAGGCTATCAAGCTTAACCTCACTATCTCACTGCATTTCAAATATCTTAGGCATAATAAGGAACAGGTATTTTTCATCAAGTATTGATATGTTGAACTTTAAGTCCCTACATAATATGATTTAAAAAACATTTAAAAATTAGATTATATTTTAAAAATAGGATAAAGAATTCTATGCTTCTCATGTTTGCACGTTAAGTCCAAAAATCTCACCATATGCAATCTTGAAGCAGGACAGTCCCACAATATTCCTTTTCCTGTCTCTTGCTTTCATTCACCACCCCCTTCTTCTTGAACATCCACCTACCCAAGAGACATCATAGCAGTAAATGGCATATTCATTCTTTTCTTTGGAGATTTTGTTTCATGGAGCATCCAGGGTGAGAGTATCACATAGAGAGGCAGGCTATTGGTGCAGAATTTAGCTTGGTGACTTATGTAGGAGAATCTTCACAGTGGTTCTAATTGCTTGCCTATGTATATATATGTATTTTTTGTATTTTAGGGAAGGGTCTACAGGATGTTCAGGGTCTCACTAGTAGATCGGATTTATATTGATTCACCTGTTTACAGCCTCCCAAGAGCTGGGATTACAGGTGTGCACTACCATGCCCAGTCTCAGTGGCTGTCTCAGCTTGCCCTGGGGGCAGGGCTGGTGTGGCAGGCCCAGGGATGGAACCCCTGACCCCTGAGCCTGCTTGCAGGTGCTTTAATTCGCTGAGCTATTTGGCCTGCCCTTTGGGCTACATATTTTGGTCTGTCATAGGGAGAGATGGTTTCTAGGAGAGTCCAGTCTCCAGCATATACTAAGGTTTACTTTTTGGAGGGAGCAGGTGAGTGAGTCCCTGGTCTCAGACTCTCCACGCAAGGTGAGAAAGGCAGTGTTGTCTTCTCTTGAATCTTTCCTTAACCTGGTAGCTGTAATCTTGTTTTTTTAAGTGAAGCCAAATAGATAATAATTTTTATTCTGCCCTCAGTTTTCGGAGTGAACATGGTGAGGAGGCAGGAACTTTCTTTGAAGCTAATGAAAATGGGACTGCCCGAGTTCTGTTCCTGGGTAGGGCTAACTGTAGGTACAAAGGAGTCTGTGGGTATAGTTAGGGGCGAGTGGCTCAGATCTCTTCTAATACTGCTGTTAGGCAAGCACACTCTTTGAGAAAGAGCAAGCCATCCTTGTGGGGGACCAGTGTGAATGGCAGAGGTTGTAAAAAGAGGGTTTACCTGAGTAGAGGTTACTATTAGCGCCTTCAGGACTGGCAGGGTCAAAAGAATCAGCACATTACCCCAGAGACAGAGATAATCCTTGTGTGTTGTGCCAGATGCCGCCGAATCTTAAGCAGAGTTTTAAACCAAAATGATGTGTAGTTGGCTGCCTTTTCAGTTAATTTTTGCCAGCCTTGGTAGAAGGAGGTAAGACGGTAATCCAGCTTGTTCAGTAAATATTTTCACAAAATAGTAAATATATATTAAAACACTTAGAAGATTTATAAAAATTACATCAGGCATTCAGGGCATGTGATTATCTTTTTATTCATGAGATTGCTTAGTGGATTAAGAAAAGAAAGTTGAAGCCAAATTCCTTGGGGGGGAGTAAGAATTGGTGGAAAAAGTTTTATAGTAGACGTTCTCTGACTGCCTGTTAAAAGGGCATTATGCTACTGATTCAGCTACCTGTAATGACTGTTTATGTAAAGTATAGAAACCCTCGATAAGATCACATTGACAGATGAGCATAAGTACTTTTAAAGATTGGTTTTGTACACAGCTCACTACTTTTTCTCACCGTGAGGAGCCCGAGTACCCTGTCAGAGTGTGTTCAGATGGCGATGCCAGGCAAAGAAAACCTGTGTGATCTTGCATAAAGCTCAGTTATTGCTGCCAAATACTAGCTGTCAGATTTTAATAAAGCCCTCTCAGTACAGGAAAGTACGGCATTTTATTCTCTCCTTTGTCCTACTGGGAGGTATAAATATACGGTGCAATTAAGTTTGGATACCATCAATCACTTTCATGGTGTTTGCTTCAAGCTTTCAAACATAAACCATTCCAAATCCCATTTAGATTAAAACTCATGGGTAACACCAGTCACTGGGATGCTGAGGGTATGAACTGTATAGTTTACACAATGTATATTTGAAGGGCATCTTTATCAGAGATAAAGTTCTTCTCTGACAGGCCGTAACATCTAGGTTTTCTATGGGTGTGTTAATCTACTGCTTCTTCTCTTCACTGTTTGCTTCATGTACATCGTACGTTTAAATTATTGACTAGACACCGGGGTGCTGTATTTGACACTTTCTCTTCCACTGAAGAGGGCTGGATTGTGTCCTAGCGGGCAGATCCCTTTTTGGTAGATCACCTTGATCCTTTGGGTTGATTTTAGGCTTTCTTCGGTAGAGTGTGTGAATCTGTGTCTGTTGTCCTTAGACTAACAACACAAAGCTTTGTCCTTGGATGCTGTCCTTATTTCTAAGATGGGACTTTCCAGGGGCTTCGGTGGAAAGTG